AGCCGGAGCCAGCCCATTTAGGGCTTTGAAAACAAATAAAAGGATTTTAAAATCAATTCGGAACCGAATTGGAAGCCAGTGCAGTGAGGCCAGAATTGGGGTGATGTGGTCACGCTTTTTATGGCCAGTCAGAAGACGTGCAGCTGCGTTTTGGACTAGCTGCAGGCGTCTAATTGAGGCCTGGTCCATACCCACATACAGAGCGTTGCAATAGTCCAGTCTCGAGGTAACAAAGGCATTAATAACCCTTTCTAGGTCTTTAAAATATAAAAACGACTTGGTTTTGGCTAATAGTCTTATTTAAAAAAAAAAAGCAGGATTTGACTACGGTGCTGACCGGCTTGTCGAATTTAAAAGTGCTAGTGAAGGTCACTCCAAGGTTCATGACAGAGGGGAGGATGTTTTCATTGAGAGAGCCCTCAATGTTATAACCTATAAGGGAACTCCATCATGTTTTGGACTTTTTCTTATTTTCCACCTTACTTTCCGCTCCTAGCTGCAGCTGCACAGCCAGGCGCAGAATGAATGAACAATATCTGGCCGCTGCTTCTGAATCCACCCTGACTGACGTTTCCATTACATCCAGGCTGCTTACATTGGAAATCCAAGCTAAACACCAACACAGAATGATAATTTAACTTCATACCATGCAGAGCCCAGGCTCTCAAACACGCACTCCTATCATCGCCCAGAGTTACACAAAGTCAGTGGACTTCTTTACATTTCACACTCGCATAGATTCAGCCATGAGCACCTGTAAGCACGATCGCACCTGAAGACGATAACACTGAAGCAGTAGATTGGAAGATAAATGGGATTTAAAATACCGTTTGGCATTTCTCCCTGCGAGGCACGGTCTGTTCTCATGCAGCTTAAAAACCTGTAATCACAGCCATGTTCCTACAAAATATTAAAGTGGGGCTAATCCATATTTTAAGACAGTTATCTTTTGTTTTTCATCGGATTTCGGCTGCTGAAAACACTTTTTTCCAGACCAGAAAATGTGTCACACTTCTAAAAACCGACAAGAACATTGTCAAGCTACAAATGTAACGACATTATTGGAGTTGTTTGATTGAGATTTAGAACAGCTGTCTATCTACAACATAAAAAAAAAGTAACTCTCAACTATGGAGATTCAAGTTTGTAGCACATTGTCTATATTTGTCTTTGAATGTGTGGTCTGTTAATCCTTATTTTCTGAACCCAATCATAAACAAATATATTGTTCTCTTTTACCTCCGTCTGTAGGCTATTCAGGCTCTAAATCAAGTTATTTAAAGCTCATCTTTCACTTTAAAAAGCAGCTCGACCTTGTAGCTCGTGTCCCTGCCAATCATTGTGACCCTGAATAGCGGACCCCTTCTTGTTTTCAGTAGCCCGGCTGCCCCCTTTGTTAACATTGTGTTTGAATTTCAGCTTAAAGACCAGAAGCACTTGTTGTTTGCTGTGTGACCGCACATACTGCAGCCTTACCGTCAATCCCTCTCTGAGATGAAGCGTGACCTTTGATCCCACAACACGCCCCCGGCTTTCAGAACGCTGCAACTCAAAAACCTTGAAGCCTGGGGAGTCCTTGTCAGTCATACTGTGAAGGCAGCGAACGTGAAAAGTAAAGAATAATACTAATACGTGGCTAAAAACACAATGAAGCAACGCTATTTCTCAAAAAGCAGCAAGCTTCTGCTCACTTGAAAAAAATGATAAATGAAATGTCAAGGTAACACAGAGGAATGACTATTTTCTTTTATCCAAATGCATTCTCATACATTATTTGCTGTTCAGAATATGGAAGAATCATACTCGAGAATAGTATTATCTCACATTCCATAACACTGTTAAACATGCCACCACAACCATATGTTTAGAATACAAACAACTGTATACTTCACATATCCTTATATTTAGATATGATATTATAATGTTAAGTTATCAAAACACTAGCTGTGAACTGATGTACATATCAACCACTTGATTGCTCAGTATTTATTCTCCTCACACATCATTTATCACAGTTTCCTGAGAGTCAGAGTCTCTGCCAGGAATCCTGACCTCTGATAACGAGCATTTTAAAATATGAACAGCAGAAAACGCTTCTTATCTAGAGAGGCTGTTTGGTTCCCCATTACAGCCTCCTCACTCTATTCTTCATTTCAAAGCACTGCATGGCTCTTTTTTTCTGCAAGTCCAGACTTTTCAGAATCTGATTTATTGCAAAGGTTTACAAACGAAATGTGTAAGATATGCGATTCTTGGTGGACCTTTATCATATCTTATCATACCTTATCAATCCAGGATTGAGATATCAAATATCATTAAAGTATAGTTTTAGTTTCATTTCACACTCTGTTATTTATACTTTGAATTGTATCTTCTTGTCGATCACTGCACTACAGTATCTTTCAGCAGCACCGCAGTCTATTAAACCACAAACAGCTTAGGGTAACAACATGGAAAATCCCTTTCAGACTCCGAGTCCTTCACTGGCAACAGATGTGTTTTTTCTTTTTGTTCGTTGGTGCGTTTTGATGTCAGCTGGGGCAGATCAGCCTGCTTTCTCACAAAGTCAGCTGAAGAGCGATGACTGTCTGGTATCTTTCTGACTCATAGCAGAAAGACCTCGGACTTGGACCCCCCTCTCTAATCTGCAGCCACCCACAGGCTGAAGTCACTCACTCACCCCCCCTCTCCTCTGTGTTACTGTTTTCTTTGCATAGAAACTGTTGCTCTTTGTCTCCTTGTTTCCCTCTTCACAGGAGGGAGCTTTCCACTTTGTTTACAGTACAACCAAATATACAGACTTTAGGTGAGATCGCTAAAGTAGTCTGAGTGTGGGTGTAAAGGGGGCAACGGTCAGAGTATACTTGGAAACCAACAATACTTTTTAGATTGTTTTTCATAAAACAAACATCCATTAAAGAAATGTTGTCGTTTCCAACATTGTTCAGTACATCGTTTCAGTTGTTATATGCAACTAAATTGCACTGGGAAATCCACTTTGAGCCCTTTTGAGATGTCTGAGCATTCACAGAACTGGACTTCGAAAAAAGAAACTGAAGTTTTCGTTCCATGTTGCAGGTGTATTTAGATTTGGGCCACTAAAATACTCAATGAAGGTCAAGCTAAATAAATATTGTAGCTACAGTAAATGATGTCAGTGTGTGACAAGTCAGTTCTTCACCGTACATGGCAAAAACACTACAACAACCTTCAAAGACAGTGCTGCAAATGAAAGTACAGCAAAGTGCTATTGTTTTGCATTCAACTAAATGCACCTCAAACAAACAGCTGTCTTTTTTTAAGTATAAATGAAGACTGAAAGATAAACACAGACTCTTATGTGTGAGTTGCTTGTTTTGATCAAAACAGAACTCCATCACTTGCTGTGACTCAGAAACTGTGACTAAGCCTGACACCTGTGAAGCAATGAGAACACCATCTTAGTGTTGGTGTAACAGCCCCTATAGTAATACCAATACCAAAATGATATAATAGGTGGTATACTCTGAATCACTTCAAAAGAAAGACAACTTTTCGTGTAATGAATATCCTTCCTGAGAAATGAGTAGGCAATTTTGCACCCCTTATGGGTAATGGAGGTCAGTATTTCAATACCAAGAAATCCTTGTTTAGGGTACACAAAAAGAGGCCCGGTCGCCAATACTGACTCAAGGTTTTTCCTTTACATCCCAACTTACATTTGAAATGATGGTTGTTTGAGATGAGATGATGTTTTATGAAGAATGCTCGTTAGCTAAAGATTTGGCACAGTTGCAACAGATCTATGAGGAGTGTTGCCTGACAACAGCACTGGTCAGTGAAGTAAGGTCAGTGGAGCGAGGTGAAGTGAGGATGGCTTATCACTGATGCCGCCTCACTAACACGCTGTGAAGGCTGTTATCTGTCTGAGCTGTCAGAAACAAGGTCTGAACACATCTTTATCAGACTTCCCCTCACCACACTGGCTCCTGCAGCTAGACTCCTGGATATTTGTCCTTGTGCGTTGGCAGACATTTCATCTTGCTGTTGAGTCCAGACATCGAGGCAGATGAATCACTGATGGCATCATCGCCAGCAGAGAAAACGATAGACGATTACTCACCTCGACTTAAATACACCTGGACATTTTCTGCTCAATCTATTCTCTTAGGTCATGGAAAGCATTACCATTGTGGGGTCTACTTTCTTATTCATGAAATGTATTTGTGTGGCAATTCTGTTTCTTTTTGAGAGAGCAGCTGAAAAGTGCTGATGTTTGGTATTCTCAGGATGACATACTGTGTTGCTGATATTGTTCTTTTGTTGTATCAGACTGTGATCACCACCCACGTTTTGAGAGTAAAGAGACATTCGGGGTTTGTGGCAAACTGTTTCTTAACAGGTGACATTTGTCTCGTATAATAGGTAACACACACACAGTTTATTCACCTCACTGTGGCCTCCCAGTGAAAGAATTCAGGACAAGATTACTCCAAAAGAAACCAATCGAAAAAGCAGTATTATTGTCCAGAAATGCTTTAATGACGTAACATTTGGAATTGACATTGACGTTTTTTGTGGCTTGGGCTGTAATGAAGAAAAACACATTCCTCTAATGCCAGTGATAAGCTTTTGTTTGTAATTGTTTGAATATTTACTTTGATCCAATGATGTCTCTACGATGTTGTCTTGATGCTGCAGCCTCTGAAACATCTCCTCCCATATGTATGTATGTATGTCAAGGCCACACAAGAAAAGTGTTTATAAAGCGCGACGGATTGAGAAACCACACCAATGAGCAGGAGGACTTAACCGGAGTGTGTTAATTTGCATTTGGAGTTGGAGGGCTGGATTAGAAAAGCGGTGGTCCACAGAGAGACACGCAGAGTCGGATTTCAGTTTTGCGAGGGCCCCTTGAGTCCGAATCACTGAAGCTGCCTTTGTTTGACTGTGAACCAGAAAGAGAGAGAGAGAGAGGACAGAGAGAGGGAGAGGAGGAGGAGGAGAGTGTGAGGCTTTTAGTTTGGAGTGAGTGAGCGGGGCAGGCAGAGTGAGCTCCATCTCTCTCTCTTAGAAGGGCTATCACACATGAACAGGACAACTTTAGTTTGGATCTAAGCTTACCGTCACTGAAGATGACTTCACGGTAAATGAAAGGCACTTTGTTCCCAATAAAAAAGTAGTTTTAAGTCAGTTTCCTAACTCTATTTCTGTTTTTCTTTACAGCATTCCTCCCTGGTTCTTTGGAATATTTCTGCTAGTGCTCCGGTTCTGCTGCCATCGCTCCTCCGCTCAGCTTTTGGAAGGTATGTGCTCTCTGCGTTTGTCTCTTATTGCTGGATCATGTGTTTCTTCTTCTGCTGTTGGAGAACTTTCTGCTGGCTCAGTAGTTTAACTGCTGAATATGAATGAATGGTGAAACTGTTTCGCTCTGCTCCTGGAAACTAAATGTGTTACACAAGATGATATTTTGAGAAAGATGCTTTCATTACGGCAAGACTGGTGTGCTTTTACAGGAGGATCATAACTCAATGAATGTTCAGTTACTTTTCAATGTATTTAGAGGAATGTTAAAGTAGGGTTGTTCTTGCATACGATTCATTGAGAAAGGCAAACCAAGTACTCTATTTACTCATTATTTAGTAGCAGGAAGTAGACAAACATTTAGTCCCTATGGTGTGATATTGAAACAATAACAACATTTGGACGTTTGGACTCTCAAGGACATGAGGATAATAAGTAAAGTGCCAATATACTCCAGATCATGGGAAAGTCTTAAGGGGTTTTACGTCTGTATTTTGAGGGTATAGATGCATTAGACCCCCATTTGATAAGATCAGTTGATCCCATGGGATGCTTAATGTCGGATTGGTCTAGGTCCAAAGTCTCTGTTTATACTGGGAGTATAACACTGAAACATGGCAACCCCCAAACTTTTCTAATTTTTGGGAGCCATTGTTTTTAGATGATCTTGATGACCTTTCAAACCCATAAGAAAGATACCTACCGGCCTCTGTGCTTTATGATGTTTTCAATTATATCTTGACTGATGTGTTTCTCAGAGTCCCTGCAGAGCTTTTGCAGTCTGTTTGCACAGCTTAAATCTAGATTTTCTCCATGATGAATGGATCAATCAGGATTCTTCAACATGGTCCCAATTAGAGCAAAAAGAACTTCTCTTTTCCATTGCAATTGGAAACAGACAAAACCTCACAACGTGCACGCTGACAGACAGGCAATCAGTAGCACTGCACAATTAAGGTAGTAAAGATTGATGTAATGCTACTGAGTGTGTTGGAAAGTGCTTGTCTGAGAAGAAGTTCATGTCAATTAAGTCATAGCGTCATTTTATTAGTTTTCATGCTGGCCTTCAGACAAGTCTAATATGCATCACTGCTTTCGTCAGTGTGCTGGAATCCAGTTTGGCATTTGCAACTCTATGTGTGTGTGGGTGTGTGGGTGTGTGTGTATGTGTGTATATCTTGACCTATGATCACCACAAGGAGCTCCATGTCACAAAAGCAGCATTGTGTGGGCCCGATGAAATAATTACGGGGTCTCTTTAGCTAATGTGGCCCCATGGAGCTTAATTGTGAGAGTCTGACATCTTGAATTAAACACAACTTTGGCTCAGAATGTGAAACCGCTTAGCTATAAAAACCCTGTCCCCAATTATGATACTGAGGGAAATATGATCTTGTAGGAATGAGTTTTTACTCAAAGGTGGTTGAAGAAGTAAATGTTTGCAGAACAGCACAACTTGAAGATGGATGTGTGTGAGGAGGTGGAGCTCAGTTCATGTAGTCTGACTAAAGAAATGTTTTTAAGGGTGATTTTACGGTCCAGTTTCCTCCACTGTTGATCCTGCAGAGGCTGTTTGTGCTTTTGTTCATAATCCTCTGCCATGATTCACTTTTTCAAGAGGAGGGGAAAAAGAGTGTGTGTTTGCATGCATGCTGGGTTACTTGCCAAAGAGAGAGAGTAAGAGAGCACCAGGGACAAATATTTCCAGCTGTAAATATTCTTGAAAACAGAGCTGTCGCCGTGGCAACATTCACATTTCTGTGCACGATTGTTGAAATATAGCGGATATAATCCTTTCCCTTTGTGGGAAATAGTGTATGCAGCCACTTTCAGCTGTTACTGTGTGTGTGTGTGTGTGTTTGTGTGTGTGTGTGTGTGTGTGTGTGTGTGTGTGTGTGTGTGTGTGTGTTTGTGTGTGTGTACTGCATCAGAACTAAGAGCTGCCAAAACAAAATACAGATGTTTTGTTTGAAGTCCAAATCTGCCTTTATGCTTGGTTGTATATAAACACCTTAACATATAAGTGGATTACCTTATTTAATTGTGTGAATGATAATGAGAGAAAGAAAGTATACATATAGGCAGAATGAGTGATGGGTATGCGTATCAATAGATCTGTAAATAACGGCTAAGTAAACCAGAAACATACATAAAAAGTTAGTAAATTAATCAAGAATAAGAGTTTGCAGTCAAATGTATTTCAGTAGATGTTAAAAAACAACAACAACAACTTAATAAATTACATTTAACCCTCCTCTTGTGCTGTGAAGGCATCATAATCTTCGCTTTAGTTTTTCATTAACTGATATTACGGAAGAATCATAAAAGGTATTAGCTGCTTTTAATCTTTACTAACGAGCAACATGTTGAAAGCAGAATTGAATAAAACCTCTTTAGCCTGACATGCTAACTGTGCACACACATGTATACACACGTATACTGTATACCACACACACCAAACAAAGACGCACATCTGCTGTACACATGGTAATTATTCACAAATGATAATGGTTTTAATTATGTTGATGGGACAGCGGGACACAGCGGGCTATTAGGGATAATGAGTGTGATGATGTGGCGGCTGATGTGAGTCTCAGAGAATGTGGTGATTGGGAGGATAATCATGATGACGAGGAGAATGAGGAAGATGATTGTGATGATGTCCTTGGAGATCACTCCAGAGAATGAAGGGTGTTGCTAGACAAGTAATCACACAGTGAAAAGGGTGAACTTTGACTTAAAAGTGATTCAAGATGGATCATTGAAAATTGACTTCCAAATTGAAATCGATAATAAAAATGACTCGGGTAGTATCTGACTGGAAAACCAAATCTGGTCTACCTTCAAAGGACTCATTATGTTCCTGCTTTTCTCAGTTGTTTGTTCAGGGAAGGTCAACTGAGTGTGTTTGCTCTTTTTTTAATTTCCCCTCCCCCACCTCAAGTTTCTCTGCTTTTTACCTTCTCGACTTGCAAGCAGCATCATCGTTTAACTTCCACAACGTTTCCTTCAATATTAGTCCTAAATCAACTCACAGGTCAATATGGGAAGAATTTGACATAAGCATAGATGACAGTTGACAGAAAGAAAGAACGAGACAGTAAAACACAATAGGAATGTTGAGATGGTCAGGAGCTCTTCATGAAACTTGGCTTTCTACACCGATATCTTGGTTTTCTTTTTAACCCAAAATCCATCTGATGTAGGTAGCATAACACTTCAGCTCTTCTTTCAGAATAAAGATGACCCTGAGTATAAGATGTAATGTGTAAAACCTTCCATTTGTTCTCAATTCCTGACTTAACCAGACTGGCTTGGCTTTAGTTGGATGTAGGTCATCGGGACAGCATGTACGGTTTTGATTAAAAGTTACATTTTGACTGTAAGATTCTCAGTGCTGTCCAACAATGATTTCACGAATGAGCAAGAAAAACATTGGAGACTTTTAAAGTGTGTGGCATTTTCCTATGAACTAATGTCCGGTTTGTTTCCATCCAGCGCATGATGTAACGCACTAGTGAGTCACCTTATACCCAGTGTAGGAACGATTTTTAAATTTTTGCTTGGCACACATGATACTCAGCAGGAAAACAGTCACAACACTGAGCACTGAGCACCAAAGCTGTCACCAATTTAAAAACAACCAAAGGACATCATGACAACTCGCTTAACATTGGACTGAAGTGGCCAGATGTTTCTCTGCCCATGCAGATGTGTTTATACCATTGACTGTATAATTTACACTCTGCATGTCATGTCATGTGCAAGTGGGCTGTATTATGATGTAATGGTTTAAATAATGTGTAAATCCAAGACACTTAGCAGATGCTCACATGAAAAGTTAACTGTAGGATAGAATACCATAACACAAAATCTATGTTCTCATTTTTGACTATTAAGCTGATGCTTTTATCACGTACAGTGACAGAACATTTCCTGTGTTTGGCTCAAGAATAATGTGGGTACATATTGAAGGTGAGTGAACAGATGGGCTACTTAAAAATTCCCTAATTAACTAAAACAATATACAACATTTCCGTGACGTCACGATATCCCTTATGATTTAGGGTTGATTTTTAGCATATTAAATGTGTTTATATATGCCCTAACAATGAGTTGAAGCATAGAGAAAGCAAGATGAATGGATAAGCATGTTTGGGGGCTCAGACTTTCCTTTTACAAAATAAAGAACAGTCTCTCTTGATAATTTGAATCGGGGTAGAAAAGCCAGGATCTTAGCTAAGCGTAAAACCTTCCTTTTTTTGATCTGCTGTTTCCAAAGACAAAACCCCATCATCTCTTGCCATCAAAACGGAAAAGTTATCTAAAAGATGTCCAAAGTGTAAGCCCTGATATCTTTGGATCAGGGCCGTTTTAAACCTGAAACATTCAAAACCATGATTGGCAGAAAATGTTAACAGATTTATAATTGATCTTCTTTTCCTGCTTTATATTAGTTAGTCTTTAACTGTATACTTGTTTGTTGCTTCTTGGTAGAGGGACACTAGCTCGTCATGGCGCTGTTTATACTTCCATGTGTCAGCAAGTTTAAACTGATTCCAGACGTGCTGCAGGTTGTTTGTGTTATATAATATCTGCATCCCAGACTATTCCTGTTTACTTCCACTAACTTCTAAATGTTGTCCAATTTAACATCTGTTCTCTTTGGCTCCTGATTCATTTCTTTCACTTATAATTAATGCAGTTTGTTGTTGTTTGTGACTTCTTCTTAGTAAGTCACAATGTAAAAGCACTAAAATATTGCTGTCAACTTTGATCAGTAAGTCCGCTCACTGAACACTTTAAACGCTGCTCTAGAGTTTCTGGATCTCAATGTTTTATATCTGCACATCATCTAAAACAAACCCTAAAATAAAACCATGTGCGTTATCCTGGAGGGTAAACAGGAATCGCTAAATTTATCCTGAACAAAACAAGCCACTATTTTGAGTCCTGGACACAGAGTTGGAGCAGATTAATACGTTTCTTCAAAGCATGAAAG